GGCATATCAAATAACACATTTCCTGATCTGAAAGCGGAAGTACTTTTTTTGAGTAGCAGATAGAATTTGATAAACTTGATGCCTATTTAATTTTACGTTCACCAATCCCTAAATTCCCTCTAAATTTGAGCCAAATCGAACTTGTGGTTTTAGAGATATAGAAGTATTAAGGAAAACACATTTGCGCATATATAAGAAGAAGGAACGGACAGAACACCTACCTTTTATCCAATTTTGAGCCAAATCGAACGAGCCATTTCTGAAATATTGGCACATCTACAAAAATGCGTTTTCGCGTTCGTAAGCAGACGTTCTGGTTAGAATTTAATAAAATTGATATGGGACCGTCTTGACACCAATCTTCACAATTCCTGAGAATTGGATGAACCGTAGTAGGTGATATGCTCGTTACATCGATTTTACTACAGACATACAGACAGGCATCGAACCAAATTTAATCCTTGATGTCTGAAACGTAAAACGCGAGTGGAAATTTTTGATCCTGAGCACAACAATTTTTTTAACCTCTCGCACGAATTACAATGCTTCTCTACCTTCGGTAGTGAGGAAGCAAAAGTTGAAAATTTTCCTCGTTTACACTATGCAGGTTCCATTTTTAGTTTCTGAGATATTTTAATCCAAAATAAATAAAAAAAGTCAACTCGACTTCATCCGAATGAATGTTACTGTTACATAGCCGAGCGGGACGGCTCAGATCATTCAACACTAGTGTTGCCCAAATACGACACCATGACGAGTCTGTTTTTTCACTAGGAGAAACCTAACTAAGTCCAAATGAAAAATTTGAAGTGTTAAATGCAAAAGTATATTGCTTACACCAATTCTTTGTATAGAGTAACTAAAATTGTTAAGTATTAGTAGTAGTAGTAATAACTATTTCAACTTAATTTTTAATCGAAAATACGATTTTTTTTACCAGTTTTGGTCTTGCAACAGTTAGGTGTTCTTGGTAATGTTAATAGACATAGACGATTCCGTTCTTATTTTAATATCGTAATAACATTAAAGTTTCCTATTTTAATAATAATTAACTTTATATTGTCTTTTTTTTTACTTGTTTATTGAAAAATATTACAATCTGTCTCAAACGACATTTATAATAGCGTTCAGAGATCACATTCACACTCTATGTACAATAAATACAAATAAAATAACTTCTGTTAATATAATTTTAATTATACCCTTCTAAAAATCATTTAGGACCAAGAGAAAAACTTTTATTAAACTCTAAGGGCAGGCAAAAGTTTGAAGTTCTGAGAAGTTGTGATTGGAACTATACTACCTTCGTTGTTTTAATATAAAGTTTTTTTATCTTTTGTTTCTTATCATTTTTTTATTCTTCCCTCTCATATTTTGCAATGACTCAATTAAATTTTTGTATTTCCTCGTTAATTGACCTTGACATTTTATAGATGAAAGTGTAATGTGCTGATTTTTCAAATTGTAATATTAATAATTCAACTCATGATCAAACAATTTTTCTGATGATTGGGTACTAAATGTTTTCTGAGAGATTATATTAAAAGACTTAATTAAAATATATATGGTTGGTTTCTTGTGAAATGTCATTAAGTTGACATTTCATAACCTGAAATGACTAATAAAATTAATAAAATATTCCGTTAATAAGAAAATTGTACGCGGAATGACAAAAAAACCTTATTAGAAGAAGGTTTTGTGCCATTTCAGCCCACTTACTGTTTTTTTTTTTTCACTTTCACTTAACTATATATGTAATATATATATATATATATATATATATTCGAATCTCGGTTTTCAATAAAAATATTCGTTTTGAGGTCATCTGAGTCCAAATAACCAAGTCCTAACAAAATGGTCTGTGTGTATGTGAACATTCTACCTCAAAAACAATATTTACAAAACTGATAAAAGATAGGTTTATGACTCAGATGTTACAGTAACTTTTTCCTTAAAAACGCCTAACCGGAAGTGCCACTTTATATCAACACATTTTTACAATTTTCTCAAAAACGGCTTCAACGATATTTATTAAACTTAGTTTATCATTGTTAATTAAGTGGTCTTATTCCAATTGATGTCACTTTACAAGGCTTAAAGTGAATGTTCAGATACTTCTTCTTCTGAAGTACCATTTATATGATTAATTAAAAAAAAATAACTCTCTATTATTGACAGTAACTATAAAAAATTGCTAAATATGAAATTTGAAAGAATATGATAATTGGAAACTGGAGAAAAAAGAAAAAATGCTTATCCAGGTCGAAATGCTTCTCCAGAAATAATAGTTAGAAGGTATACGTATTATATATCGTAAGAAAGCGAAGAATTTTAGAAAAAGTAATATAAAATAAATGAAGTTGTAGAAGGTAATGGAGAGTGATAAAAAAAATATAAATAATAATTTCTGAAAACTAACACTATTTTAGGTAAATCATATATTTCCAAGGAAATGAAATGAAATTTTCTTACTAAAAGTAAACTTTTAGTTTGAAAAAAGTATTTAAAATCCACTGAATCAAAGCGATAACATTGCTTAAAATACTAATTGATTATACTTGTGTGAAAGAAAAAGTGAAATATAAAAATATTTCATGGATATGCTTATAACTTTAAATACGTTTACTGTAGTTTAATAACTCTAGATCTTATATTTATATAATTAGGTATCTATCGGCCAATTATTCCGAAAAATCAAGTAACCTTTTGGAAAATTAAATTAGTGAATAATTTGATGAATTTTGAAATCTCAACATTATCCACTAACAATTAGTGTGTCACCTTTTGACCTATCTATGGCAGGCAATGAAAATCTCGTTAATTCATTTTAGTAAACTTTACAATGGAAAATAGCAGTTTAGTAACTTATAATTCTACAATCCATAATCATTTATAGGTATCCATAATAATACATGAGCCTTCCAGCTGACAGAATGACTAACTCCAATTCTAACATTCTTTATTATTAATTTTAGTGAAGTTTCTTGTGAGAAATTTGCGACTTTATTCACAGTTCTATATATCAACACTGCAATCACCCTTTCTGGAATCAACTTACTCACTGTCTGTATAGATATAACTTCTCCAACAAGAAATATCACTAAAATGATTTTATTGAAAAATGTTGATATTAGATTTAGCTCAGAGACTGAAGTTATGTGGTTAACCGGAACAGATAGAGGAACTACATTTTTATTGTTTACCGTTGATATAATAAATATAGTTTTTGTTATTTTGATTGTCTTAATGGTTTGTTATCTGTAAGCTTTAAGCTTTAGCTCCGTTTAAAATGCACTTCAAAAATTTTATAACAGAAATAAATTGCCAGAAAGTAATTTCTATTCGAAGTATAGCGGTAATTGAAAGTTCTGTGTTACGCACACTAAATTTTTTTATATATAAATTCACAAAACCGTTCAATATATATATATATATATATATATATATATATATATATATATATATATATATATATATATATAAATTTATAAATATATATATATATATATATATATATATATATATATATATATATATATATATATATATATATATCAATTGTTATGAAAATATATTTTTTTCTAATGTATAAAAAATAGTTCTGGAAACATATGAAAAAATGCAATATTACTCATAGAAAAAAAAAAAAAACTGAAAGTATACAACAAAGTAATTAGTTTTATAAGGTACTAACATTAAATGGTTCCACTCTTACAGACATTTTAAATTTGCCTGAATCACGTTTGCTGAATCGAGTATTGTTATACCCTATAATCTAATCAAAGGATTGTTAAGAATAAATTATATGAATTATTGAAGGAAGTTTGTTGACAGTTCTACATATCATGGATGATAAATATTCAAGACTCTGTCATTATAAGGTTTTATTAGTTCCGACGTTTCAACCCAAACAGGGGGGCGGGGTGGCCGAATAGGTTAAAGCGTGTGCACAGCACCGCGAGTTGCCTGGCAACCGGATAACAGAGATTTGAGATGATTTAAAAAGTACGAGTTCGCGTCCCGGTGCCGGAGAGGGGATTTTAAATTCCCCGCCCTCACCCCCTGGCCCGGAAAAATCCCGTATAGCCTGAAAGGCGAGGTAGAGAAGAACAAAATTAAAAAAAAAAAAAACATGTTGGAACATATTCAAGTACCCAGTGCTTGAAACACGTCCTGATGACCCACATGTTTGTGTTGAAACGTCGACACTAATAAAAACCTTATGATGACTACGTCCTGAATATTTATCACCTATAATAAATTATATGATTATGTGGATGTGGTCTGTACAGTATTTTATATTACAAAAAAAAAAAAAAAAAGAAAGAAGATTCAATAAATTTATTCTTTCGAAAAAAAAGATAAGTGAGACCAGTAGGCATTTCACCAATCCTGATATATTCATATAAAATACCTAAGTAAATAGCATTACTGAATTCAAGATATAAAATATAGTTATTAAATAACTAAACCCCATACTTATTTCAAAGTATTTAAAATAAAATAAATTTTCGTCAAATGTTGCTACAAAATTATTCTTTGGTAAAGATAGCCAAATGGTAAAGATGACCAACTCGTCTTGGTCTTTCGAACTCAATCTTAGTCTTGCCGAATCTCGCAAGAGTCTTGCAGTTACCAATTAGCCTATTACTATAGAGATATTACTGTAATTTTTCAGGTAGCGGAAACGTAACTTAACGTAACAATAAGCCCGAATGAAAAATTGGAAGAGTTAAATGCAAAAGTATATTGGTTCTGCCAAATCTTTATATATAGTAACTAAAATTGTCACGTATTAGTAACTAATTTTTTCCTTAATTTTTAATTACAAAACGATTTTTCTTTACCAGTCTTGGTCATGGTCTTGCAAAGTGCATATTGGACAACAGTAGTATTAGGTCCAATCAATCATAGTGTATTTTCTTTTGAGGTGTAAACTATATTAGCTAATGTTCGTTAACTATTATATCTATGATGTAAATAATGAGAAAGTGTTATACACGTCTGATGATTGGAAGAGCTCTAGTATGGTGTTAGGATGAACTGGAGTTGTCGACTTGAGGTCTTGGTACCTCCAGGTTGCCAATGTTGCGCCCTCTGCAGCCGCCTCTGAGTTGGTGAACATTTCAATGTATATCTTGTTTATACCCTGTGTCAAACAATAGAAAAGTTTTGTTATTTAAAAATATATCCATTAAAACAGAATAAAGTAAACATGTAAATTATATATTGTACAGGGCGAAGTTGCAAGTATAGAGGGTGTCTCATTTTTTTATGACCAATCTCTGAAGGTTGATTCTAGGAACAATTTACAACAAAAAAGTTTAATCGATGTATAGACTGATTCCGAACGGCAAATGACTTAAGACCAATTTTATGTTATTTAAAAGGTGGTCTCAGTCTTTATTGAATAAGAAAGAATGTGGCCTAATTGTCCTAATCAGCTATAATAATCATTATAAAAATAATCAGCTAACTTTTTCTATCCGGATTTATGATTCAGCTGAATACGCTACATCATATCTTCTCATTGGATTTCCAAATATCCGAACCAGTGAGGCTATGAGATCTTATTTTTCTGTATATACAAGCAATTTTCCTCTCCCTTAGGCCAATATAATCGGTATAAACAAGCCGGGTCGTTATATTTGTTTACTTTCAACATGCGTTGTTGGCTGTAACGATTTAAAGTAGAATTTCCTTCAACTATTATATGTTGTCTTATAATGGTGACATGAGCTACTCGGTAGATCATCAGGCCACAATGGGATTTTTATGAGAAGCAGACCGCGTTGACAATTAATGTTTGAGGAAGGAGCCAGCATCATCACAGTAGCAAACAATAAATGAACCATCATCTAGGTAGAACGACTTCTATCACGAGAACACTGAAAACCGCGGTGGCTTTGGCGTAGGTAGGATTCCCAGAGCTTAAAAGACAGTGAGAAGAAAAGTGATGAGATTGCTTTTCATGAACTAGTTAAATAATAAACTATAGTATTAATAAACTATGGTAATAATTTGCAGCGTTTTTGTTAGAAGAATAAACTAGTATGATGCTGATGTTTAGTTAACTTATTTAATTAATTTATAGGTTAACTTAGTTAACTTTGGCTATTTAGTGAGTTAAAATTTATTTAAATGAGGAACCAACGAATTCGTCTCGTCGATCTTGATGACCTCATCTCGAAGGTCTTGGTTATCTCTAGGAGGTGTCAGAAACGTCTTTTTAGGGGAGGGAGAGAAAATATTCTTAGTGATACCAAGAAATAAAAACCATATAGTTATTCGAGATCTTGTTGCGGCGAGTTTACATAATAATTTGACAGACAATCCTACGCCCGTCATTCTTACCTAGGGAGTCAATTTGATCATAGAAAGAATTGGAATGGTTTGAATCCTGAATGTTACAATGATTTATTAATAACTATTTCTAAATGATGAAAGAGACAATATTACATCTTAGTTACGAAAAACCAAAATCGCTTATTAATGTTGTTTTAGTGTTCTGTGGTTCTGGAAAACGGTATCAGGAGCATTGCCCTAAGATATTTTTAACTTAACTGCTGGATTATAGATGAAATTCAGAGAGTGGTGTAGCTCAGTGGAAGAGCACTGCTTCGATCCCAGGTTCGAATCTCAGCCCATGGCAGAATCACATTTCTTCTGTTTCATCAGCCGTGAGAAGAACCTGGTGTCCGGAGACCCTCCTGGGGTATACCCAGCCCCTATAAAGTGGGCACCCTTAATTAAATAAGGGGAAAACCTGGCGGTTGAGTATAATCTCAGTCAAATCACCTCTTTGGCCTGCCGTTGACTAAGAAATAGTTGACTTTTCCTAAATAGTACTGAACCCAACACCCTTCATGGGTTTTAGTGGTAAAGGTCCTTTTTTTTTTTATAACTGAAATTCGGAATTATAACATTACTAAACATTAATTTTTTAATAACGTTTTTATATAAATGAATTTAAGAGCCTGTCTCTGGTATATAATAAACGGGGTGGCTGTTTAAGCTAACACTTTAGTGGCCCCTGTTGATAACCGTGAGTTATGACCCTCCACGTGACGACCATTATTCACAATGATGTTACTCACGGTGTGGCCAAGATTAAAATTTTATGAATAGGTTCCCGGCGTCACGGGATCTTTCGATTAATTTTGAAAAAAAAAATGTACATGATTAAAATTTGAAAAGATTTTTCACCGAAAGTTTAATATTCGGTTATGTTTTATATTTTTATATTCGTGGGGTTTGTTCAGCAATTAATCTATATATTATTTTGAAACTATCGATCTGCCGTTATAAAATTTCTATACCCTACTTAAGTTGAACATATTTCACGTAGTTGCTAACCTGCACATCTACGTTGTTGGTGAAATAACGTATATTATCTTTAATTTTTCCACTAACTAAAAATATATCTCTTGTAACCTCAGCTATTTAGAGTGTCCGCACTCAGTGGAAAAGTCGTAGGGTGAAAAATAAAATAATAACAGAAATAAAAATTAATTAAATAAAATCTATAAACATTATTAATGATAATAATATGATACTAGAAGGTAAACCAAAAATAAAGAAAATACTGCAATGTATCTCTGGTAACGCTCATTACACTAAATGTAAAAGAAAAAGGATATGTAATAACACATACATACACTATTCAGACCCTCTTGATATTTTGAATATAACAATATATATTTTTAATTTAAAAAGAAAAAAATATGGCTGCAATAAAAGAAAATCATTAGCTGATAGAATTACAATGAAATAAAGAAATATTTCCAAGACTAATAATTAACTAAAATATTCATACAAAATAAAAATATTTATAGAATATAAATAAACAATTTCATTGAAGAAAATAAGAGAAATAAATTTATTATAGTAACTAACATGTATTGTATGACCTGGCCAGGTGGTGTATTTATCAACCTGGGAACAGTTAGTTTTCTCATCTCGTTTTCCTTGAATATCGTCCTCGAGTTGCGTCAAACTCCCTGATATCCTTCCGGACACCTCCTAGCTTCCTGAAGACGTTGGAAAGACTTTCGCTAATTCCAGTAAAAACTGATAATTTCGAGAAAGTATATCTCGTTTCGCGTTCTCTCTTGGATTGCAAGCTTGTCATGTATGATGCGCATTGAACTAGTGCGCGTCTCCCCTCTTCCTTTTACGTATAAACGTGTTGCCATAGTAATAATTAATTTAAAAATCACTATTAAAGGAAGGAGATTGTCTGGGGTTGCGGTCATAAATAGGCTAAATAGTGGTTAAACTATTTAGCATATTTAAGACCGCAACCCCGGATCATATCCTTTCTTTATAATGCAACGGTCAACTATTAAATATTCAAAAATCACTATTAATATATTTAAAACTGTTACACACTAGTATTGTTTTGGTATTACTTATAGATAATTTCAAGTAAGTATCACTTGTTTTTAACTCAATAATATAGTAGCAATCAATAGGAAGTAAGATGATTCCCATAAATAATCAAAAGTATCTTAGTCGTCAAAACCAATCACCTTTTTTGTTTATGGTGATTTACTTAGAACTACTGTCAATTATTATAAAATTTAGTACCGCGAAGACTCACCGTCTCTTGCAGAGCCAGAGCCCCGGATGCCGCAGCTATCCTGATGTTCTCTTTGCACTGATCTATGTCCTCTTCCTCGATTATGCCGACTCCTTCCATGCCAAGGCCTGCCACGGCGACCGAGTAGTAGTCTCCCCTCAGGTTACTGAACACCTGAGCGTTTCCTAGCTTGACCACGTGACTTCTGTTAATAATTAGTTAGGATTTTAGTACAATTCAAATACAAATTAATAGCTTAAATTACTGGTATAACGTAAATATGTTGTGGGGGTAGCCGTGCAGGCTAAGGCGCTTGCAATAGGTAACCAAGTTAAGCAACGCCGAGCGTGGTTAGAACTTGGATGGGTGACCGTCCACCAGGGAAAGCAGGGCTGCCTGAGACCCCTTCCCCCCCGGTTTGTGATAACCCGTCATTCTACTGAAGGCAACTCACACCGACCGGGCGTAGGACTGATGACCCTACCCCCGTGAACTTAAATCAAGAATCGGAATGTAACCTAGAAGACCACATCTTGCGGTCAAAGATCTACAAGGTCTGTAGCGCCTACCGGAATATATATATTCTGCCAAAACCATTGTTACAAAAGTTGAACTTTGTTTATACCCTTGTGTATATGCTTAGCTCTATCGGGTTATTTCCTTTAATTGACAGGATAATAATCCCAATTAGTTTGTATTTTTCTTTTGTTCAGTTACCATGGAGTAGGGTGATGAAGAATAGCTGTAATCTCCTTACACAAAGTTGGAAAATGTTGGTGAGAGATTCCCAACACTTTGAAATCTTTAGGTATCAGCCGTACTTTCGTGTACAGCAGTATAAATAGACGTAATGAGACCCTATCTGTATGTGACAGAGTGGCTTCGAATCAGCAGAAATTCCATTTGAAAACAACATATCATGTCTCGGAAAATGCTAATCTCTGTCTGATCAATGTTTCGCATAGTAAAAAGTAACTTAGAAAAGGTGCATTTCGAAGAATGAGAGGACAAAGGCTAACCACGGCTCTAAAAAAAATTAGTGTGGATAGATGCAAAGTGCTCTTTGGCCGTTACACCAATGGTCTTCATCGAAATATTTTGTTTAGCGATGAGAAATTTTTTACAATTTAAGACATATTTAATCGCCAAAATGATCCTGTGTACGCACACAGCTGTAAAGAAGCCCACGAAGTCATTGGAAGAGTGGAAAGAAGTCATTGTTAAAGAAGTCATTCAGGTGGGGAGTTAGCTTTGATGGCACCACAACGCTCCATTTTTGTGAAAAAGGAGTTAAAACAGCCTCTAAAAACTTTCAGAACGTTATTTTGGGACCTGTTGTTAAGCCTCTAAATGATACTCTGTTTGCTAGAGGGCATTGGGTTGTCCAGCAGGATTTCGTTCCAGCTTACAAGGCCAGGTCAACTCAGCAGTGGTTGCAAAAGAAGATTCCAGAGTTCATCTCTGCCTCGGATTGATCCTCAGGAAACCCTGATCTCAATCTACTAGATTATCCGATTATATGATTATTGGTCCGAACTGGAGAGAATGGCATGCCACAGAGGTGCACACCCTAACTTGGAAATCCTCAAACAATCTCCGGTCTGAGAAGTTCAGCGCTTTCCTCAAGAAATGCTACGTGCCGGTATTGATGACTGGCTTCGGAGACTAAATGCCTGTGTCAAGGAAAACGGGAGATTTTGAGTCATTTCTATTAACAATATTTATGACAGGACTAGGCATATATACATTAAATATCCTTAGATGCTTCAGCCCAATTTGTATAGAAGGTGATAGAAAAATATGTATAAATTACAGAGGGGTCTGTGTTACAAATACTTATTGAAGAATCCTTAGCAAGGTTATGAGAATGCAACTAGAACATGAAATTGATAATATTGATGTCCAATTTGGTTTACATAGGTCAAACGTTCAGGCTGGCGGTTGATGTAATGGGAAGTCTTGACTCACTACTGAGTTGTAGTGCCGGAAGAAGAAGAAGAAGAAGAAGATAAGTCATAGAATTCACTATGTGGTAACTGCTTGAAAACGTCAAGAAGTTGTCCGCGACATTTACGGGGGGCTGAAAGATAAAACAAAAATTAGTATAACTTCTAATGAGTTAGTGTGATTCAGGAGGATTCAAGCTGATTCGTCACAATTTTTCTGTAATTTAGTATTCTTTTCTCTTCTGTCTGTGTGACCGTCAGAATTCTTACGAAAAGAGGGTGAAGGGGAGAAGAACCTTTGAGCTCCTCAATAATATGGAGAACGTTCCTTATAAGCCAGCGTTACCAAACGGTTCACTGCTCATCAAGTAAAAATCGGTGGATCAGCCCCATTGGAACTTAGGTTATAATAGATTGATTACATTTTGAGAACCCCCCTCCTGTGTATGTAATAAAAATAATGGCTAAACAGGAGATGAAATTATTTTTTTTTTCATAGAGACTGAAATTAAAACCAGTTTTCACCCGATATAGAGCATTCAAGATTATCAAAAATCCATTTGCATCGGTATTAATCAATGAATTATTAATATTATTAATGATAAATATTTTCATACTAATAAAAGAGTAACTATCAATCAAAAGATTGTTACATGAATGATATTTTTACAAGATTAATTTCATAGAATTATTATAATTATTAGATGAGTAATAACTGGTGATTCCGGGTTCGTGTGGGGAGAGTACCCGGAGTAAGGGTTAAATTACTGAAATTCAAGACAATCCTGAAATCTATCTGCATCTATGGACTGGAATTGTGGAGTGCTGCTAAATTCTCAACACCAAACGCATTCAATCCTTCCAGTCTAAAATCCTGAGAACATTACTCAATGCTACCCTCTATGTGACCAACAAAACCATGCATAATGACCTCAATATCCCATTTATTTTTTATCTAATTACAGACTAATTTTCCAAATTTCAACAGAACATTGGTCTTCAATCTATGAGACACAATCCCTTTCTTGCACCACCAATTCCTGCAATCTTCCTCACAGGTTAAAACTACACTGACCTCGCGACCTTCTGTGTATATGTAAATATTGGGTTTCTTGTAATGAGAAGATTCTCCACTCAAGTCATGCGCGTCTGTGGCTTTTAATACTAGTGAAGTGATTGTAAATATGGAGCTTTGCTTTCTGATCTTTCATATAAATATCCTTAGAGATAGAATGTAATATTTTTCAATAAACAAGTAAAAGAAAAAAAAAATTCAGTCAAAGATTACCTAAAACTTAGGATCCCATTTGCTACTTTTTTTATTCATTATAATTTGTGGTTTGCGCATTTTTATAAGTGAACCTTTTTTTGCTTAGGGCCAGGACCGTGACCATGTTGATTTGGATTTTCGGTAGGCGATAGTATAGTATGGTATAAAATTATAAATTATCTAGTAAGAAGAAACATTTAACCTGAAGACTTACGTTGTAAATTCTTATTATGAACCAGATCATCAAATTATGATGCCGAAGAATTCGATAAATTTAAGGATTGATTGATTTTTATTTAGTATACTTAAAAAAGGAAATGTTGATGTTGACTATACAAATTTATGTTTCGCTTTGGATGTAACAGGGCTTATGGAACAGAATCTACTTATTATGCAGGAAGTATAGTAAATAAAAATTTTATTAGCATCGATATAACTTTATTTAGGCATTCGATAGGAATAGGTCTTGAATAAACCTATATACCTAAGCGCTCATAGCTTTTTCCATAAACCGAAAATATTCAAGTGTGAGGAAGGTTTTTGACAGTGAAAGTTTAACTACCACAGAACGCGATGTCACATCTTCCTTATTTTATGCCAAGTATCTTTACCGAAGCAGGGTTGATGTAATAAAATATTTTATTACTCACAAAGAAATGAAGTAATAAAAAGGGGAAAATAATATCCAGTAGGATCCATGATATTCCAATGACAAAAACTTCATACTAAAAGAAGATGGTTTCCTTTATGATTTGGTTTACAAATTTGACTTTATATCTGTATATATACTCGAAATTAACACCTGTCACTTAATTTTATAGAAGGTGAATAAATGTTTGAAAAAAAAATTTTTTATTTTATTTTATTGAAATTTACAACTGTATTACATGGAAAATACAATAAGTAAAACTACCCATTGGTAGAACTAAAAAAACACACATATATATATATATATATATATATATATATATATATATATATATATATATATATATATATATATATATATATATATATATATATATATAAATAATAAAAAAATAAAATTAAAACTCATTCTATTTAAAAAAAAAATTTCTAAAAATAATGGCTTATATTAACTATCCAAGATTTACGATTCTTCAAAAATCTATTTTTCCTTGAACCCACCCAAACAAGACAAGGATTCCTTTAAATCATGATTTTGTTTTTTTCACTCTGTCAGTAACATTTATAAAACATTAAAAGAAAGTCATGCCTATATACAATAAATATACAAGCCAAACTTATCCCTCCATCTGTTGATGGAAAAACAGGAATTCCAAGAGATCCCTGTGCTACTTTCTCAGCCGCGCCACTAAAGCTAACGCCTGTGGAGATTGAGCGAGAACGCTTTAGATACTTACACTCATGTCTAGAGTGAAGAATATGTCCATTGCCAGAACTTCAACATATTTACTACAAAAGGTTTCGGGTCAACTGCCATTATAACTTTCTTGGAGGTTTATAGGGATGGGTGGTGCAAGATTGTGCAAAGGATCGGGATGATATGTAAGGTTCCGGTAAAAGTTTTTCTGAGATAATTTCTAGAACAAATAGGATGTTGAGGTCAAAATTAAGGTTTTGTTGGTTGCATAAAACGTGGCATTGACTATTGTTCGAAGAACTTTGAACTGAGAGGGTTGGATGCAATTGGTGTTAGAAAATTTTTCTGTCCCCCAAAGTTCCAGTCCGTGGGTTCAAATAGATTTCAGGATTTTTCATTGGTTAGTCACTATATTTTGTTAATTGATTCCTTATTTATATATATATATCCCCACATATATTATTACAGTAAGGCTCGAAATCGGTTTTGTACCAAATATAAGCTCCTGTCATGCTCAAATACCAAGAATGGGGTACCGTTGGATTCAGAATTTCACGGGGGATTAGCGAATCGAATTCTCCATTTTTTTTTTCTTTCTAAAATAAATAAAGTCGATACAAACATTTTGCTAAGCTTCAATACTGGAACGGTGGTAGGTGTGTAGATCGATATGGGACAAATTGGACCTTGAACATTTTGATACTTACAGCTTCGGAACTATCGGACCCTGCGTTTTTAAGCCCAAAAACTAGTACTATTTTCGAGATAACGCAAGGCATAGTGTTCGCATCCACGCAACCTTACAAACATTTTGCTAAGCTTCAATACTGGAACGGTGGTAGGTTTGTAGATCGATATGGGACAAATTGGATCTTGAACATTTTGATACTTACAGCTTCGGAACTATCGGACCCTGCGTTTTTAAGCCCAAAAACTAGTACTATTTTCGAGATAACGCAAGGTATAGTGTTCGCATCCACGCAACCTTACATTAATTGTAGTACTGTCATTGAATACATGTCTCATTTCGTCGACTTGAGGACTCTATGATCGAGAGAGGAGGGGTTTATACTATTTATCGATGGTGTTTTTGATCGGCTATTCATCGTAAATTCTTCACCAAATCTCAAGATTGAGCCACCAATTTCGAAGGCTTCCTTCTCCTTCAGGAGGGCAAAATTGTCCAATCACCCGAAAATTCAGGCAAACAAGTTATGAAAGAAAAATTTATTTGCGAATAACTAGAAAAATACACACTTTTCCCCATTGGGTCATGTCCATGATTATATAATAATAATAATAAGGCTTAGCGAACCCGAAGGTTCGATGCCGACACCACCAATCGCTTGTTACACACCTCCCTCCAGCGTTCGCCGTCCAAACCCAGTCCCTTCAGATCGGCTTTAATGCAATCTTCCCATCTTCGCTTCGGTCTACCCCTCGGACGCTTACCATTCGGCACAGCAAATATTAACCTTTTAGGAATTCTCTCGTTACTAAGCCCAATAACTTTACAAGCCCATTTGATTCGCCGCGATGAAATTACATCAATTATATTACCCGGATACATCTCACGCAATTCGGCGTTGTGTAACCGTCTGAACTCTCCGGTTAACTCATCCTTTTTCGGTCCGAATATTCTACGCAATACTTTATTTTAAAAAACCTTAAGACGCTGCTCATCCCTTAATGTAAGCGGCCAAGTTTCGCATCCATAAAGAACTGTAGGTAAGATAATTGTTTTATAGATTCTAATTTTTAAGTTTCGGGACAAGAGGCGCGAACTAAGTAGTTTTGTCACAGAAAAATAACAAGCATTCCCCGCCTTCAATCTAACCTTAATCTCTTCTTCAATTTCGTTTTTTCTAGTTATCGTAGAACCTAGATACCTAAATTTATCTACCTGTTCAAACATATTACCATCTATATCGATATCACCAGTAGTATTGCCATTTTTGCAGCTAACCATATATTTTGTTTTATCCACGTTTATTTCGAGTCCTAGTTCTTTACCGGCTTTCATTAACGTTGTCGTATTTAGTTTTATAGTTTCAACGTCTTCGCTTAACAGTACCAGATCATCAGCATAGCCCCCATGATTATATAAAAGATTACTAAATTCTCTACAAAAAACTCATCGAAATCGGACAATTTTTATCAAAGATACAGCTTATTGAAATTTGTAAACATCTTGGTTCCAAACATTAATGAAGATTTAAATTAAATTGTGTTTCCTTTGGCAATTATATATATATCGATAAAGTAACAATTGATTTGTTTATCTTTTGATACGTTGCATTATTTTATTTCTTACTAGCTGATACATCCGTCGTTGACGGGAGTTGTTTTGAATTTTTTTATGGCGGTGCTTATGGAAGTCAAGGTTTCGCAATAGCCATAACAAAAACTTTGTTATTCGGCTATTTTTTTAGGTATCACATAACTAAACCACCACCGATCCATTAAAACTTGTTTAAGTGTTTAATTTTTATTTATGATGAAGCGAGGAGATTGTGGAGTCGATTAATTAATCAAAAAGAGTTGTAGTATCTCCAGTTCTTTAAATTCTGCTGAGTTTATCGTTGGCAAAATAACCAAAATAACATTGGACATTGAGTCACCTACACCCGTGTAAAATTAGAACTTGATCTGAATATTGTGTTGGGCAGTGACAGATGTTCGGTATTCCGGATTTTTCCCGTTGAGTTGTGATTATTTTTTTTCATTAGTTGATTAGTACAACTTTTAAATGTGGCTCACGATATATGGAATCGAAGTAAGTAACTGCCTAACTGGGATCTCTAGACAACTTACTCAAGAATTCATAACTTTTGTTCTACTCAATATTTTGTTTTCATTTAAAGCCTTTATTTTAAGTCAAGCAAACCTTAATATAATGTTAACATTTCAAAAGTCCACAATCAGCCATTGCTGAGCTTACCCTTGACAAAATTTCGTTGCAATGCGGACATACAGACAGACAAAAAAAATATACATTGATCTATTTTGGATAAATGATATATCATAAAATATTTAAATGCCGATTTTTTACATACTGCATACATGAGGATTTTGGCAATGTTGTACGCCGGTTTATAATTCGAATGCAGATGGTTAGGAAGGAATTCAGTAAATTGCTTTAGGATTTTATGTTATGGTGAATATAACAGCTGAATGCCTAAATTAAAGCTTTAAAAAAATATAATAAAGAAAAGGTTGTTGATGGGCTGTTTTAGACTGGTATAACTCGATGTAATTTATATTCGTCTCCCTTTCTCTTAATTCCATGCCTAATTCCACGGATTTCCCTTTAAAATTAGTTAAGCTTTATTAATACCGCTCTTATATTTTATATTTTTATATACATATTATATATTTTTATAAATGCTGATTTTGCTACCCACTTAATTACAAGAAAATTAGAAAATTAATTCAATTGATACTGCGAGTAAAATATCTAGCTGATGATGATTTATTGAAGCCCTTTCATATCGAGGAATAACTGACTAATTGTCATGTAGAAAAAAAAATAGTTTTTAGAAGAATTTTCCCTTAAAATATAACTTTGTGAAATTTGTTAATAAAATTACAAAATGTTGTACAAAGGTAACGAACATTAAGCGTACAGGCGTTAAAAAATAGTTTAGAAGTAATTTATACCGTAATTTATTTATTGCAATTTCATTTTATCACTTTTCCGCCCCTCAACAAGCTGTTTGTTTTGTGGGAAAATTGAGTGGCATTTGTATGCAAGCTGTGTTTTCCGACAATAGGCGGAAAATCGCTATCAAAGGGCTGGAGTTCATTTTCCATCTCACTTCAATTAATGGGTCTAGAGTGCTGACAATGCTGAAGTGTTATTGAACTATTGAACTGTAATTGTTTCAAGCTGAATATTAATATCAATTATTGTACACATATATATTCAAAAGTAGCCGAAAAAAGTTATAAATTGAAGAATTTCCTTAAAAAAAGAAATATATAGTTTAATCGAATAGTGCATGCGAACTATTTTAAATTAAAATGAACTAGTAAAATGGACGAAAATACTTCTAGTTTTTTATAATTGATTTTTTTTTAAATTAAAAAGTAGATTTAGTTTTGATCAAAAAGTTTTCAACCATTATTCCTAACTTGTAGAATCATTATTTATATGATTTTTTTTAAAACAAACTTTTACATTAAATAAGACATAATGGGTTATTTTCGACTAAAAATCAGAAGGTTTAGAAAAAACAAAATAGTATTTTACGGAGGGAAAAGTCTTCAATTTTTTTTTTTTTATTTAATGTTTTTATTGTAATGTAACAAATGGTCTCTTGATTTTGATATGGAAGCTTACGATAAGTCAGTGTATGTCTGTAACCCACCAATGAAACACTCTGTACCTTGTCTTATAAATGTATTAGTGTTAGTTGGAAAAGAAGTTTTCGCAGAAAATTTTGTTTAGTGGAGAAATAGTACAACAATATGGAAACACGGAGTTCCTATGTATTATCTAAGGAAAGAATTGGTATTTTTTCCTTGGTCGATTACAATACTACGTTAAACATAATAGACCAAAATATTAATACAAATTGCTTTGCTAGGACTTACTTTTAAACGCTGGCTGGAAAGATAATAAAAGTAATAAGTACAAAATAATGCCCCGATCATGGGATATTCTAAATTATTAAAAAAAATAAAATGTAAGAACAACCTTTAAGAAATAATAAAGTTAATGTAAAAGCCAGGAAAAAAAATGTAGTAGACTATTCTACTCCTAAATGCAATATCTTTAAACAGAAAGATATTATTAAGTATACCGAAACTAATGGACTGTATCTTTGTTAATAATTGTCCGAATTTTACGATTTTTGTTTTGTTTTGTAGGTAATGGGTACAATCCAGAAAAAAAATTCATACTTTTTGAGTTATTCTCAAATAAAGTTTCTTTTCCTCCATAACTTTTTGTCCGATTTCGGGGGGATGGGACTATTTTTCGCATGTGAAGGAGAAGAATATCTTCAAAATGAGTGGTCTCAATTACTTGATTTGATGAAGAATTGACGAAGTTATGGCGTACCGACAAAAAAACACCTTTTAGAAATAATATATAGGATTGTTACATAATAATTTTTAGTTGATATTTACGTATGTTCTCTTATAAGAAGAAAATATAATCGTTGCTGTTTGTATCTTTGAGAAAAAATTTGAACTGCCTGGACCAATTTAAAGTTAAATCATAAACTATATCACTGTAAATACATCCCAAAATACAACCCAACTTGAGAAACTAATACTTCTTTTATTAGTTAACCTATAAAACTACAAATTATAATCGTTGCTTACCCTTTGAGTAGATGCGACAACATTCCGGCAGACTCTTGCTCGTCGTAAAACTTGGCCGCCTGTGTGAAGCGTAGTTCTCCTGGATTGCATCCATCGTATGCACCGATGACCAATCCTTTCTGTAAAATAGTAATCCATGTTTATGTCAATTATTCTGTTTATTAAATTTAGTTTAATTATAAGTATGCATGTTTCTTGTTTAAACATTGATATTACCACGGATTAAACATTAATCCAGTTTTCACTAATCATTGGCACAAAAAAAAAATAGGAAAGAATAAAAGAATTAGAACAAAGTATAATTAAATAACCAGCAATGGAAATCGAACAAGGAATGTTATAAAATTATTAAATGGTATATAGAAAGAAAGACAAATGTTTAATAACATGCATTAGAAGAATATGAGATAAAGGAAAAACATTAAGAAGTGGAAGAAATGTCTCCGAAGATGGGCAAAGAGTCCAAAACGTTAAACAGATAAATAAATCAACATATACGGAAGAAAAACATTTTCATACGTTATACATAATTTTTTTTTAATTATTTCTTTATTGAATAATATAACAATCTGTCACATATACATACCTAAAATAACATGAAACTCTTCCTTTAGTAAATTATTGAACATAAAATAATATGAGAAGAAAATTAACCTAGAATGAGGTGAGCTTAAAATAAATTGTATATGAAATATATGTAAAAGAATGAGAGGATTATTTATTTATACGTTATTTATTCACATTGCTTTGGTAGAGTTTATCTCAATAGCAAGAGAGTATTAAGGGAGCTTTATTTAGAGTATTTATTTATTTTAAATGATATTTACAACTGTATACAAAAAATACATCTGGTAAATTCGCACATTGGTATAAAGACATGGAACACATGCTGAGAAACTACCCATTGGTAGCACTCTAATAATATGTCTGTATTAGAAGATTACGTGGTCATTTTCTTTTCAGACGCCTCGGAGGGTTATCAGGAATCGAATAAGAAGCAAGGTTAGAGACAAGAGGGTCGGGATGGTTATGAAGTTTATTATGGAAGGACAGATATCTGGATTGGGCCAAATCTGATACATAAGGAACATTAAGGTCATTATAGATAATTTTATTTGTAACAAAGTAAGGAGCATTGAGGATTTTACGAAGGATTTTGGATTGCAAGGACTGTATGCGAGAGGAATTTGAAGGCTTGGTGGAGCCCCATAGCTCAACCGCGTAAGTCCAAATAGGCCTTATTATAGTCATGTAAATCAGTCTTTTATAATTGATTGGAAGGTTAGAGCGTTTGTCTAGTAAGTGTTGAAGTAGTCGGAAATGTCGAGCGGTTTCTTGTCGTTTCAGTCTTGTATGGGGATTCCATGTGAGTCGTTTGTCGAGGTGGAGTCCTAGGTAACGGATTTGTTCAACAGGAATAAGTGAGGTGTTGTTAAAGGATACTGAAGGACAGGAAGTCATTGGTTTACGAAGCTTAAATACAATATACATTTCAAACATACCCCTCATATTACAATCATAAATATAAACCGTAACAACATTCATTAATAATCAAAAAGTAAAAATGACTTCTGCTAATGTACGAATATTTTTATTCTCTAAATATTGGCTAATAATTCCTTTCGGTTTTTCTGTTTATTTTTATGTCACTATGATACACTTCTTATCTGATGAATTAATCCCTAAGGTGGATTGTTTATCCTTCTTATAATATGTCAACAACTATATCTGTTAACTCTTGTTGAAACTAGCTTAGTATTGTGTTTGCTATTGCACTTTAAATATGGAAGAAAATATCATTCATTGCCGGTATATTTTGTTGTTGTTATTATTTTTAAAAAAGGTAAGCATGCTGCAGAAGCTCATAGAAAAATTTGCATTGTTTATGGGAATGATTCCTTAAGCGAACGTACCTATCAAAATTGATTTGCTAAATTCCAGGAATTTCTGACATCAATGATGCTCAACGGTCTGGTCGCCCACATGAAATTGAAACGAGCAATGTTAAGGTCATTATTGATCAAAATCCCACGCAATTAGCGCGAGAGATTGCTATGGCCATAATTGTGTCCCGAGCCAGCGTAGAAAACAGTTAGGGTCCTTCACATTATTTTTTTTTCGAAAATCTCAAAAAATGTTATAACTTCAATACAACTTCAGCTATATACATGAAATTTAAAAGGAATTTAGGACTACATCAACTACACAAAATGTCATCAACAGGACATTCGTAAGCAAACTACAAATGTAGATAAAAACCAATAGTTTATTTATTCCTTATGTTGGCATCAAATCGAAAAACCGTTCATACGGCTTTGAACAGCAATAATTCAGCTTTCCAACGGATATAGTAATATCGAATTTGGATAACATCCTGAAGAGTTATGAATGATCGGAAGGGTTGTCCAAGATAACGTAATCAAAATGGCTGCGATAAAAATCGGTAATCTCTCGATGGTTAGAAATTGGTAATGAAGATAAACGTGATTTTCAATATTTTAACAGTATGGGTGTCTTGTCTACTGAGTTAGTTTTGTTTAAAATCTGTTACATGCAGTATAAGCTTCTTTTCCATCTCTCAATAGCAAAAGATTTTGGTAAACTATGTGCCGAAAGATTCCGAATTTTATAAAGGAATAACGAATCCCGATTCGAGATATATAATTGGCCTACAATAAAAATGTCAGCACTCACTGGACGCAAAATTTGATGCTCTACAACTTTGATTCTATGGGTTTTTCCTCTTAGGGAACTCATTTCCATAATTACCTTACCGCGTTACCAAATTTTAAAGTTTATGTACTCGTTTGACCCAAAATTTAACGTTCTTTAATTTATTTTAATTTAATTTATTGAAGAATACATTTTTCGCTTTGATGCATTTTTTAGGAGTTATAGGTGAAAAACCCAAAAAATATTGAAATAATCTGACTTTTTTGGCTGTAAAAAGTTTTCCCTTGGTGGCCCGCGTTAGCAATTTTGTTTTTTACAAGTCTAAACCCATATACGCAAGTTAAAAAAATAAAAACTTTTCTCATATTTTTCGCAATGGATTTCCCGTTTCGATCCTCAAATCACTGACCTAATATTCTTTAAATCAATTGTATGTCTAAAATACATTGAGTTTTATTTCACTCAGAAAAACCGAAAGGACTTACTTGCCAATTCAATTCATATATTTATGCACTATATCAAGGATTAATTACACAAAAAATAAACACAACTATATAAAGAAAAATCTCCTGCAAGTGAAAAAATAAAAAGTTTTTTAGAAACTGACCATTTGGGGAGTGTTTGTAATAGTTTAGTGCAAATATTTTGTAATCACAAAGTTTGTTTTGAGATAGTTCTTTAAATGTTAAAGGCACGCTTGCATGGCCGTTTTTACCAATTGGTTAAATCGGGACTCATATTCATCGGTGATCATCCTTGGAGAAAATTTATTTTCTCAATTTATTTGGGTAATAACATACAACATATATACTACATAAAACATATATGCAAAATTAATTTTTTATATAATGTTTGAAAAGCAACAAATACTTAAAAAAATAAGGTTAGGTGTTTATTAGCGAAGCCTATGAAACGCCAGTGGTTCCAGGAGGTAAAGGCTCTGAATACTGACATTAGTTGCTTCTGAACACAATTTATTTAATTTTTTATCAACAGAATTCTGATAGTGAGCAGATTTCTGAACTTTATTAACATGTACTTACGTTTTCATAATTGCCTCCACAAGCCGCCGCAAATGTACGATGATGAAAACTAGGAGGTTGATAGAATTTTTTGAGCATAACTGTATAGTATCAGTTTTCGGTTAAAAATAACCAAATAGTAAGAAAGAAAAAAAGATTTGTACGACCGAAAATCACTTTTAATAAGTAAATAGTTTTTAACTAAACACTATTTCGCAAATTTACCTAACTAATTTAAATATTTTTGATAAGAAAATTTACTCTTACATGAAATAATTTTTCACTAACCTATTCCCAACATATGAAATTTTACATGTGGCACGAGATACATCTGTGTCGTGGTTACTGGTGTTAGCCCTCTCACAAAAAAATAAAGTTTAAATTTTAAAAATCGTTTCATTACGTTTGCAATAAGTTTTAACTTGTTTGTGCTGTCGCTAAAATGACTTAAACTAATATTCTTTGAATGGGAATATATCTTCGGCACGATGTAACGATTGTGATAATCAAAATTTTCAATTTCTTTCATTTGCCGTAGTTTTCCATATCCACCTTAAGACGATATGTCGAATCTGAATGGCGACTGGAGGAGCGGAATCTGTGATGTAATTTTTATGAATTTACAGTTTTGTTAGATATCTACATGTTGTATTAACGTGTAATAATAATCGATAGTTTAAATTGGACGAATCCTTAAAGGGGACCCTACACGGTCAATCGGAATTGCACTAATGACGTTCCGAATTGTCGTGTAAGGTATTGAATGAAATACTGATGGTGGTGCGCTGCGGATTTCCGAACATCCGGAAATCAAAGGTTCATTCACGAGAAGCGGAGGGGAGACCGACAAAACATATGGGCTGGGGAGACCAACCATACTGCTGGATAGGTTAGGTTACCTAGGCCTCACAACCATTATAAATTTCTGATTTTCATTATATATAAATAGTTAAATAATTTTTCATATCCCTTGTTTATAATTTTAAACCATCTTCACCTATTTCTTTTAAATAGTCAAGTGGGCAACGAATTAAAAAAAAAATGAGGAAACTTCTCAATTTACTTTAGGAAAAAAAAACTTTAACGTTGTGTATATTTATCAGTTCTTTTCCCATTTTCCTCAACAAATTTATTATTTTCGCAATACCTTTCCATAATTTTTGTAAGTAGTAGTCTTATATTTTCTAACGTTTGTCAAAACGATTTTCTATGAGATTAACTTTACTACTAGATAGGTTAGTTTACCTAGGTCTCGTTACTAAGTAAATAATTTCATAAAAGTAAATAGTTGTTTATATCCCTAGTCTATATTATTATTAACCATTTTCAACTATTTTTTCTTTATATAATCAAGTAGGCAATAAATTGGAGAGAAAAAAAAGTGGAAACTTCAAAATTTACTTATAGAAAATAAATCTTTAACTGTTGTGTTTATTTGCCATTAATTTTTCCATTTTTCTTAACAAACTGATTATTTTCGCAATACTTTTCCTAGATTTTTGTATGTAGTTGACTTATATTTTTCTAACTTTGGTCTAAACGATTTTCAGGCACTAGGAAGTAATTATTATACCTCCGTTTTTCTCTTGATGCCCGATATTATAAATGACAATGTCCAAATAAGCATATTTATGCTGTTTCTTTGTTTACAACTGCGCTAAATTGGTATCAGCAACGATAAGTAATGATCAGTAATGATTGAACGTGTAAGGGTCTTCATGATCAAAGCGATAGCGGGCAATCTTGGAACTTCTTGTGACGTTCATTCATGAATTACCGTGTAGGGTCCCCTTTAAAATTATGTTAACATAAATCGATTAATTGCTTTTTTTGTTAGATACCGTTATAAATAGATAGTAAATTATATTTTTCTTAAATTTTTATGTAAAGAGCTACAAAATTATAAGATCTACAAAATCTCAAGAGCTACAAAAAAAGTTCTTATAAATAAGTTTACATTACCTCGCTGCTAACCAAAGAGCTCGGGTAATTAATCAATTTTGTATTTTTATGCAATTCAACACAATATGAAAGCAATAATATTTATATCGAGCCTTATCTATCATTTACGTTGACTTATGATTATTTTTTTTATATTTAAGAAGTTTTATGAAGTGTTTTTGGAATCATCTAATTAGTTCTTAATAGTTTATATTTCATAGTTATTTGTGCAATTTGTATTTATGTACTTGTATTAGAAAACTCTTAATTAGCTCATTTCTTCAGAATCTCTATAACCTTTAATGAAGTGCTACTCATAACAATATCATGGCCTGAAATCGTGCCATTAAACTTAAATTATGCTGTATTCATAGCGATTCTCCACCATTACCGTTTTCAGATAATATTCAACTTTATTATCTACTAAAGTTTTAAACTATACCGTTGATGTGTTATCAGCACTACTTAACTGGTTATTCAGTGTTTCTTCTTCCTTGTTGGCAAACCTAGAAAACATAATTGCTATTTGAAGCTTCATTAACAGTTAGGAAAGATAAGTTTATGCCCTACAGTTTGATAATAACCAGAAACAAGTTCCTAACTTCAGGAAATATCGATGAACGCAGTATGAACCCCCCAATAAAAACTTTCTTTTGTAATAACCACTCGCAAACTTACTCGAGAGCTTTAGAAGCTTATAACGTCTTTCTTTTTATTGAAATAGCGGAGCAGGAACTTGGAGCATCCTCGTCTTTTGCCAATTTCAAGATTGACCAACGTTGATGTTGGAGTTTCCTTCTGGTTTGGGTTGGAAGTTAAGTAAAAAAAAAAAAAAAAAAAAATTAAACTTTTAATATAGTTCAAAAGCATTTGTTTGCTCATTTTCCTAGAGGTTTTTGTTTCTAGACAGTTGTATACTTTTTTTTTATTATCTATAAAATATTTACAACTGCATAAAAAAATTACATCTAGTAAATTCGTACATGGGTATAATGACATGAAACACATGTTGAGAACTAATCTCTTTTGGATTTTGGATTGTAAAGATCGGTCAGTTTTAATTTAAAGCAAAATAACCCGAAAACTTTGTTTTGTTTGATGATTTTTTTTCTCTCACAATGGGACTATTTATTTCAGAAAAGTCACAATAATTTAATCACTCACTGGAAGGTTGAAGTAGGCTTAAATTATAAATAACAAATATATTAGAATTTTGGTCATTGAATACATCGTATTTCTTAAGAATTCTCGAGTATTCAAATTATTGAACTGAAATTAATAAAAACAGAAAATATTTTGGAGTACACTGTTTTGGAATACACTATTATCAAAGCTTTTTTGGGACATTTTCCCTTTCTAAAATAAACGATCCAATTCTGCTGTAACAGTAATACCTATCCGATCTCTAAATACGAAATTAACGGTTCTGTTCCATTCCATTAACAATTTTATGAACAGTATATTAACAATGATTTACCGTTGTTTAAATTAAAATCGATAAAGTCTACTTTATTTAAGAGTAAAAAAAAAATAAAGAATTTTAAAGTAAATTTATAGATAGATAGATAGATAGATGGAAAATAAACTTTATTTCGTGACAAGATCTCTTATGACAACATAGCACGGGATAGATATGTTGTCTTACCCTCCTTTCAGTATGCTATTGGATTTCATGGAGTGATGTTCGATTAGCTGTTCTTTTTTTTCCGGATGATGGCCTGAATTGGCGAAATGTTGAGGGGTTTTTCTTTGCCTGCATTTTGGTGAAATAAGGCTGTGTGGTTTAGAATTTTCTCAATAATAATTTAACATTTATGTCTCTTGGATATTTTGTTATTTATAACAACACATTTTTTTGTATAGCCTGTTCTTACAAGTATTATATCTTACAAGTATAATTAAGAGGGAAATAGTCTAACATCACGCGGGGACCAGCCGTATTGGGAAGTAAACAATACATTAATAAAAATTAAACAATATTGTATACTGCACAATATCTTCAGTGATAATATACAAACGACAGAAAGTAAGAACATTTTGAAAATAAACATAATTGAAATTAAATATATAACTTGTTTTGACATCAATAGTTTATGATGAAAAATTTCTATCTGGAAAAGTTATAAAACTATAAGTGAACAAATATTTAAAACTGTTATGTATTGATCCAGTCACTTGGTCAATTTTACGTAATCTAAACGCTGGAGTAGTGGAGAGGGCTACCACAAGCCGAAGAAAGGTAACAAAATTAATTGAACAAACTGAACATCATTCATCATCGAACTTTGAAACGATAAATTAGAGAAGGCTCAAAATTAATGGATTCTGCGTGGCATTCCTCATCAACGTCACATCTCATGTCTTAGATCTCGGTATAATGATTTTCCCTGGATTATTTGTTAACATTATTTTCAAAGTAGGGGAGGTTTCTGATTCGATATTAATGTTTGCAACCAATTTTTTGTTCAGAGAAAATTTTCGATTGAAGTTTTTAATAAATTGTTGTGTATACCCAGTCAAAGGGGGCGAGATGGTCGAGTTGGCTAACGCATGTGCAAAACCTGAATTCTGATTACGAGTTCAAGTTCCGGTGCTTTTGCCTCTGGCACAAATCCTATCCAGGCGCTGAAAAAGCGAGGTAAGAAAGGATAGAAAAAAGTGTACCTATTCCATTTTAAATTTCAGCAATCAGAGACATCGCACACTAGAATGAAAAGGACCAATAGTGGTTAAAATTAGTTTGTTTTTATGACTCGGAATATTAGATAATCTGTTTTATTTATATATTCTAGAGTGTTTGAGTAGTACGTGTACAAATATTTATCACCATTTTACTTCATTCGATCAATATAAAACTTTAAATTTGGACCTTAATGATTTGAATTTTGTTCCCATATTTTTTTTCAATTATTAACAAAATCATATATTTGTGATATATGGTCATATAATTTATTAAGATAAATTTGACTATCTTGAGGACTACATCATTTTCCTTTTCTGTTTCAACTTAAAACTTACTAACAACTTTCCTCCCTTAGAATAATTTGAACGAATTTCCTGTGGGAGTTTTTCCTGGTAAGGAAAATAATTACATTTGGCATTTAATTGGTCGCCATTTGTTTCATGTTTCCCTGAAAATTTTATTTATGTGGAGAAAATTATTATTTATTACTATTAAAAGTATTAATTATTACTCAGTCGTTAGTTTATAGTGCGTATATGTCTCTTACAATCAGTTAGAGACATCTAATAAAGAAAAAAAAATGATGGATTTATATATAAATGCACCTAGTTGATTTGTTACTTTATATAATAAAATACATTCTACTGAACCTATAATTATGTATAATCAATTACGTTCATCCGTTTTGCATAAAAAATAAATTAGAATATGATAAAATAATAATTATTTTTATTTGGGTTTTTCTACTAACTTAAGGAGTCATATTCCCAACACCCAAAAGCCACTGCTTCCTGTCCATCCAATCTCCTTCACGGAGCCCTCTGGCTGCCATGCTTTCCTCTACGTCCTCTATCCATTCCTTCTTTGGCCTTTCACGCTTGACCTTCTTTCAAGTGCCATATAGTTATAAATTTTAATTGGTCAGCGGTTCTCATCCATCCACATTAAGTGGCCATACCACTTTAACCGTTTCGTCCCGATCAGGTGGAAGGATGTTCTTTTGACATCTGACCTTGTCTCTAATTGCTGCGTTTGGGATCCGCTCGATTCTTGCTATGCCACAGCTTCTTGTCCAGAAATTCATTTATCATAGATGCATAGGTGGCTACGCTTTCTACAAAAGAATGGTAGATCTTGTTTTGGTTTATTATTTTCCATAATGAAACATTGTGATCGACCAAAAAATTCAAAAACATAACCTCCTCTCAAAATTTGAGGTTTCACGTTTGTTTGTCCGTCCGCCGTCCGCCGTCCGCCGTAGGCCGTAGGCCGTAGGCCGTACGCTGTCCGCCGTCCGCCGTCCGCGCATTTTCTCTGAAACTACTGGACCAATTTTTTCAAATTTTGATACAAAATCAGAGGTCACCCGAGGATGATCCTCCTTCATCGACACTACTCTCCGCCTTTAACCTTCAAAATGGATGCCGAAAAACCTGCGTTGCTATAGACCGTAGCTCCTAAACGAATGCTTAGATTTCAATGAAACTTCGCTTAAGTCATTTTCTCGACGCCCTTTAAATTTATCTATATGATATACTTCAACGAAAAGAAGCTGGAAAAAAAGTTACGAGGGATGGTAAAATTAAATTCCGAATAACTCGAAAAGTTTTTACTTCTTATATTGTATATGTTTTTTTAAAAGTTTACGAAATTTCCTAAAAAACAAAAAACAAATCGTTAAAATCGGACAATTAGGAGCAAAGATATGGTTTTTTTTATGTGTTCTACTCCAAATGTTATATCCTTGGTTTGGTTTTTAAATTTTAAATGTGTAAATGTTTTTGAATTAAGGCTATTTTTTTTAGCATAATACTAATGATTAAAGAAAAACAGTTTAGTCCAATAATTGGAATCACCTTTTTTTTTTTTTTTTCTTTGTAACTCGGAAGGTAATGTTACTTTAGATGTATAATTGTTTGGAGATAATTAACCATTTTGAAATAATTTGCAGCGTTTTTAGTTTCCAATAATATTTCTTTTAAAATAATAAAATAATTTATTTTAATATAATAATAATAATTATTCTTATTATCTCGGGACAACAACCCCTTGCCTGGTCCTGGCCTCAATGCAACTTTTGTAATTTTATTAAGTGATTCACGTTTTTTGTTGAATAGGAAGCCATAACTAATAAAGTATTTAATTTAAGTAATTAATAATTGCTCCTTAGTAAACTAGACAAAATTTACTTTAAATGAAAATAAAATTTTCATTAGCTAAAACTATTTAAAGAAGACTTTTGAAAGGCTGAAATAAGTTCTGTTTTGAAGAAAATTAGAGTTAGTCTTTGTTAAAACCATTTAAAGAGAACTATTAAGCGGCTTAACTCTGTTAAGTTCCGTTTAAAAAAAAATCATAAATTCTTTGCGTTTTTTTTTTTTTTTTTGTATAACCCTTCAAATAGACTACATTTATCCCACTTTCAGAAAAAGTTTTTTTGTTTAATAAGATTACGTTGTTTAATATTAATTAAGCTGAAATTAAAGAAATATTTTGGGATTCGCCTCAAGTTGTGTAAAACAATTGTGCGATTTGTCATCTGTTCACTTAAACCATGAACATATTTTCAGTAGAAATTACTACAATAAATTATGAAAGCTTAAATTTACTTGTTTCCATGGCCTGTGATGCATTATAATAAATATATAAGTACACATTTAATTAATAAAAAAAATAGTTTAAAATATTGGTTTTTCGAATATTTATCATCTAAAGTGATAATTAAACCAAGATCTCTATTATAGATATTTATTTGTATTAATAAGCGACCACCTTAATTTTCCTAATCCTAATAATATTTACGTTTTCGTGAAAATAATGGAAGCAATCAGCCGGTTCCTTTATCACAAACCTAAAAATTAGGTTTTTAAAAATTAAGCTAGTCACTTATAAATACAGATCAATATCTATAATAGAGATCTTGGTAAAAAAAAACAAAAAAAAATTAAAGTGTGTGATTTAGACAACACGATAGAAGGGAAAACATCAACTAGGTGACATCAGTAATATAAAATATAAATTATAAATAATACTTGATTATAAAGAGGATGAATTGCTGAAAATTTCTCTCGGCATACTCGACTGGTCCGATTTTTATTTTCTGAGATATTTTAATCCATTTTCAATAAAACTGTATAATTTCGTTTTCGGTACTACGTTTCCTTTTTCTAACTCGCTCTAAAAATTTTCATTTCATAAATGTAATAATAGTGTTTCTTATTTAGAGGTAGACATTATTTTAAAGGATTCTTCCTACAAACAAATAAATATTAAATTAATAAAAAAAGCCTATACTAAAGATGTAATATTTTGATGATTTTCAAAATTTATTAAATCGTCGTTAAACAAGTTTGATTAACTTGCGCAATTCCCCAAATTAGGATTAGTAAATTCAAGGAACAAGTCAAGATTTATATTAGTGTTGACCAAATGCTAGACCGAGACGATTCTTGGTCTTGCAAACTCAGTCTTGTTCATGGTCTTGGTTTTGCGTCTCACAATAGTCTTCTGGTTACTTAATTCACATCATGAGCGTCTGTTGCTTCAGTGCCCTCTCTCAGTTTCCACTGGACTCCTGCCGGTGACGCGGCTGAGAGAGAAGCGCTGGGATCTCTTAGAGTCTCGCTTTGTCCAGCACACGTGGAGGAAAGTGCTGGACTCGGAACTCCCTTGGCTGATTGTAAATATTGTAAATTAAGTATGAATGTTTTTCTTTTTTATATATTTATTTGTTTTACTTATGACTTATTTAATTTCTTAATTAATTACCAATTTCTGTATTTTTTTTAATTTGATTTCAAGTTACATTTCTTTGGTTTTATAGTTTTATTTTTTATTTTTTTTTTTTATTCCATTGTATATATAGTATGAATGGGCCTCACTCTGCTTTAGTACTCAGTGCCCTTAAATGTGGCAAAATGCATTATTTCTCAATAAAAATAAAAATAAGAAAAAGTTACTTATTAGCTTATTTCTATAGAGATATTACAGTATTTTTTTAGATAGAAGAAATCTAACTAAACCCGAATGAAAAAATTAGAAGAGTTAAATGCAAAAGTATATTGGTTACACCAAGTATTAACATATATTAATTAAGATTGTCAAGTATTAGTAACTATTTTGCCTTAATTTTTATTTAAAAAATCGATTTTTTTTAACAGTCCTGGTCTTGGTTTTATAACAGGTAGGCGACCTTGGCTTTAGGCACAGTTAAGCAAAGACCAAGACAAATTCTTTCAAAATAATCAGCCAGGTATAATTTTAATAGATTTTCACCTCTTTTTGACTATGATATGTATAATTTCTAAAAGGAGTTTTTTTGTAGGTACGCCATAGCTTCGTCGATTCCTCATCTAATCCAATGAATGACCACTCATTTAGATGATATTCTTCTCCTTCGCATGCGAAAAATAGTCCTATCCCCTGAAATTTCTGGAAAAAAAATTACGGAGGAAGAGAAACTTTATTTGCGAATAACTCAAAACGTATGCAATTTTTCTTAATTGCACCCATGATAATTAGAAAGATTACTAAATAACGTACAAAACGAAAAAAAATCGTAATAATCGGGCAATTATTAACAAAGATACAGTCCATTAGTTTTGGTATTCATAATAATTTCTTCCTGTTTAAAGATATTTAATTTAGGAATAGAATAGTCTACTACATTTTTTTCCCTGGCTTTTATATTAACTTTATGATTTCTTAAAGACATTTGGTTGTTCTTACATTTTATTTATTTTTTAAAATTTAGAATATCCTATTATCGGGGCATTAATTTGTCTTTGTTTACTTTTATTATCTTTCCAGTCAGCGTTTAAAAATAGGTCCTAGCAAAGCAATTTGTACAACTATTTTGGTCTATTATGTAATCGACTAAAGAAAAAATATTAATTCCTTCCTTACATAATACACAGGATCTACTTATTTTCATATTGTTTTGCTATTTCTTCACTGAACAGAATTTTCTACGAACTTTTCTCTCTGGCCAACTAGTTACTTTATTAAATCTGGACTCTTTTTATTTATATTTAACATTTAAATCCTCCGATAAACCTATTGAATTAATTAGCCATTAAGCTAAGTAATTAATGATTTCTCTGATAAGTTTGTTTCCTTTGCTCACAGGACATCCCACTCCACGTGTCCACACTAACAGTGCTGCTTATCGCCTGGGATAGGCTCCGCTTCCTGGAGGACCCGATGAAGCCCAGGATACCAGCCTTCGTTTGTGCCACAGGGTCCTGGCTGATGGCTATCTGCATCGTCCTCCCGTACCCAATCTACACTACATATCTTGATCTGGGGGTGAGTAGTGTTAATTATGTAGATTATATGCATGTATATTAGCGCATGACGTTGTATTATCATATATTTATAAGGGTGGGCGGAGCTGTCGTGACAGCTGAAAGCTGCCCATCAGCGCGTCAACATAACAAAGAACTCTACAATTAGTTCCATGATACTTACACGATACGCTGAAATAAGATTAATAGACATAATCAACTGAAACATCCCAAAATAACATTCACGTTTTATTTGTATCTACTCTCTGTATAACAAACTATTTACTCTTGAACGCTTATTCTTGTGTATGGCTGTCAACACTTATCAACCGCTTTCCATACCATCGCCTTTATTAAATTTTGTATCATTTCATTAGTTGGAAATAATTCAGTGTTTATCCAGATGTCATTTCTTGATTCTTGTATATTTTCGAGCTTAAACACGGCGGGGACAGAGCCCAAACGACCAGAAACATCGATGAACTCTGGAGTAGCGACCGTGTGAGCGAGTGCTCCGTTTAACGACGATTTAAAAAATTTCGAGAGGAAGATTTGAACATTGGAGACAAAAATGATCGTGTAAGGGATTCTTCCATTTATGAGGTTATGCGAACTTTGAAGAAAATCACTGGAAACTGTTAGAGAACTTTTTTTTTCGTCCCCCCTTCTTTGCCTTTTATTCTGTACGGAGTTTCCTGAGCCCGGGGGGAGGGCGGGGAAAATTATGTTAAAAGTAATTTTAATAATATCGATCATTTGTTATATCGATCATGTGAATAAAAAAATGAAATATATAAAACACATGTTTTAGTTATAACTCTGTTCTTTGTATGAAGTTGTGTTGTTAATTTAATAAAGATTGATTTTGCTTAGTTTAAAAAAGGCTTGTGGTTTATTCAATGTTATATACTTAATAATAAAACCCATAAAACATTAATAAAATCAACAAATTATGCCAAGTTAAAAGTCCCATCGGGCACCGGGATTTGAACTCGCAATTATTTTTTTATCTCAAACTTCGGTCATCAGGTTACGGACAACGCGCGGTGCACATGCGTTAGTTCGCTCGGCCACATAGCCCCCTGTTTGAGAACTTACTAAAGAACTCTAATGTAGAAAATATACCATCTTTGACCACCTCAACACAATTTAAAACTTAAAAAGGCTCGATACTTGGGTTCCGCATGCATTAGACTTACGCCAAAATATCGTTGTCATAAAGTTTTCGCTGCGATGGATTGACAAAACAGTTAAGATCAATAGAAAATACTTTTATCATAATTCGCTGGTAATAATGATTCAAAAAATGATCCTCCATTGTATCGACAGATTTGTTAGGACAAATTTCTGCAGTGTAATTTTATTATATTTTTTTAAATTTTGACATATACAGATAGACGTGCAATAAAAATGGGGATATTCAACCCCGAAACGTCACTTAATAAGCATGGTCTAAAGAAAATATTTCACTACTTACAGATATTTTTAGACATCTCAGAAAATATATATAAATAATAAATAGTTTACTTTTAGATAATGTTTAAATATATATATATATATATATATATATATATATATATATATATATATTATATATATATATATATATATATATATATATATTTATATATATATATATATATATAAATATCGGAATCCGCACGTCTCTTCATTTGGGCCAAGTTCAAGTGTCTTCGGCAGTTCTCGGCTCCACATTTATTTTTATTACCTTATTTTTGTTACCATCCCTTATTTTTCCTTTAGATCATCATCAAGTTACATCATAATTTATATTTTACCAATTTTTTCACCACTAGTTACAATATGAAATGTTAATTATTTTAAGTAAAGAAAATTAAAGGTACTTTAACCGACGAAATTTTGAAAATTCTGCATTTAAGCGATACCATTGTACTTCAGTTAGAACAATAATCTACCTAATAATTATAAATTTAATTAAAATTATTAGTAACGTTTTTGAAAAAAGAAATCATAAAATGTATAAAATCGATTAAATAAAGTCTCATTTCCTGTTGGTGGGTTTTAACGAAAGCGTTGTAGTAACATTTCAGGGCATATACCTATTTAAAATACTTAATTTAAGTTTCTTATGTATTTTCTTTTTTGAGCCATGATATTCACACACACAGACCATTTTGCGAAAACTGCTTATTTGGACTCAAATAACCTCTATTCGTGTATCTCCGTTGAAAACAAACTTTTCAGGATCGCAATATTTTCCTTTACTATATATTTCGTAATGTAAGTGAAAGTAAAAAAATTATTGTATTTAAACACATAGAAGGTATAATAATGCATTTTCGTAAGTCTTGAGTTTCGTTCGGAAGTGGAAAAAACCTAATAAAACATAAATTTCTGTATTCGTAGTTGGATTATAAAGTTTTTAAAATCACATCCCTATGTATAAAAATAACTTTTTCTGCTTTAAATAAGGTGGTAAATTAAAGTTTTGCGAACCGCGCAAAATGAGAATTTTTTGATTTTTTATATGTTGACATGAAGAGTGCATGAGACTTAATGTAGTTAAGGAAACGTAAAGCGTAATGGAAGAAATCCGATACTATACTAAACGTCAATAATCTTTGACTTCATTTTCTCTAATTACATGTTGAAGAAGATAGCATGAACATTCCGTCCTTCAAAATAATTATTTTCTTAATGGAGTTTTTTAAAATTACTTGTTTGCAATTTATAATATTTAAACGATGCGTCTAATGGCATGTATTTCTATCATGTCTCTGATGGTTTAAATTAAACAATCAACAAATGTTTAATTTAAACCATTAGCACTTATCTGCCTTTAGGCTGCTACTGCTCCTAAAAACGCGCCAGCTACTTAATATTGCAGAGATCCTTTCTTGGTAGAAGCCATTTCCTAGTCCCTCCCTTAGCTATACTTGCCAAGATAAGAATAAAATCATGATCCAAAATACCTCGAAGGGGAAGAGCGACTCCTCACATTATCATTGATCGGAATAGCAAATGAGTTTGATATCAAATGTATATACCATCGGTTCAAAGATGGAATCATATATTGGATATTTTTCTTCATCTTCTGGATATCTTACTGTATCGTTTCGTCAAATAAAAGCAGGATCTTATCCGATACTGAACTGTAAGGATGAAAATTTTCCTCGTGGTTGAAGAACATTAACTATATGAGCGTTTCAGTTGACAGAACGAATAACTCCAATTCCAACATTGTTGATCATCAATTTTATTGATATTTCTAGTGGAAAAATTCATACCTTTGTTCACAGATTTATATTTCAATACTACAATCACCTTCTCTGGAATATACTGCCTGTACAGATATTATAAATTTTCCAACTAAAAAGACTTTACTCAAATATGTCGAAATCGGATTTAGTCATTCTATCATCAGAAAGGCTAATATAATTCTCTCTCTCTCTCTCTCTCTATATATATATATATATATATATATATATATAATATATATATATATATATATATATATATATATATATATATATATATATATATGTTAAGTATCAATTTTGACATACCATTGTGGTGAGGAAGGAAAACTGAAGAAATTATTTATTTTATTTATTATTTTGTTTCCGTTTAAAAGATTATATGTATTTGACATTTATTTTATATTTACCTTTCTCACTATCTATATATGTATATTTCTCCCCCCTCTTAATCAACGTTTTTATACATAGTTTACAATACTATTTAATTGTTGACATTACCATTTATTCAAACTGGTTGCCCATTTATCAGAGGAATTTATTTTGTATTTACTGTTGTCTTATTTTCTTCAATCTTTTGTATTTCTATATTTTATTAGCTAAGCAGTAATCATTTTGTTTCATTTCTTATTTATATTGCATATAGTTCTAGTATTTTGTAAATAGCCTAATTAGTTTGATTTTGTATATATATAGTTTGTTTACTCAAGAATTTTTATTTTTCTATTTATTTAATGTAACGGTTTCTCTGGTCAAATGTCAATATATATATATATGCAATTTACTATAAAATTGTATTTTGTGAAATTATGAATAGTCACATTGCGAAACCCTGGAAATTGTAATAATAATTCAGACGAAAATCATAGCGTATTTCTATTATATGTTCTAGATCAGCTGTTCTTAAATTTTTTAAATCTGGGACGTCAGGCTAAAAAAAAAAATCGCAGCGCCCTTATAGGACTAAATCTAAATAATAATCTAAGTGCTATGTTCCTGGTCTCGCGTTTCTACGGCGAGTAAGGGGTTCCAGGAATCGCATTTATTTGTATTAAAATGTAATTAATACTTATATTTGTATTGAAATGTTAGATACCACAGACCCCCTTCTGTAGTATCCTAGATTGAACCATATAATTTTTATCGGATTTCCTTTCTAAAGGTATCATGTTTATAAATTTACTATTTGTTTCTATTACTAATTGGTGGCATGCAAGGTAGAATGTAAAATCATCAAGATGGTTTGCTAACTAATATATTTACAAATTTAAATAAAACCAAAAACATCTATATACAAAATAATAACTAAACCTATATACATAATATTAGTTGCGAATCATACGAGAGGAGGATGCTTGATATTTGATTATATTAATTAATGGTCTATGGTTGCCAACACAAATTTACATTAGTATAACTAAATGCTTGTTACCACTTAGCTGGTCCTTCATAGTGTTTCTTGGTGTTATATCTGGATTCCCTGTCTCTGCTCTCCTTCAGCGTCTAGTCCGTCCATCTGCTCTCTCCGGCAGTCTCCATCTTCCTCCCTCGACTCCCCCGCTTGAAGTCCCAAGAGCAAGTCCTCCCTCTTCCGAGTTCCAAAAAGAAGTCCCAAGAAAGAGTGTCCAGTCCAAATTCTCTATCTCCCACTTTTTTTTTCATCCCCCTCTCTTTTGGTCGTCTTTCTCCTGATTGGCTGAATATTCTCAGCCTAAGGGATGACCACGCCCTCTCCCCCAGGCCAAGGTAAAGCAGCAGGTACAGATTTCCATATTTCTGGTGGAAGGTGTGAAAAGGTCTTTTGGGGATCCTTTTTAAACACTTAGTTGTCGGTCTTTGTCGGTGGTTATTAAAGGTTTTTATTACCACTTACAAAAGGTTGTCCTAATGGGTTACCCTCAGTCAGATACAGCCAGATGTGAACACTTAT